TGACTTTAATCTCAGAATTCAGACTTTTTTCTTGGAATTCTGACTTTAATCCCAGAATTCTGAGAAACAAAAGTCAGAATTCTGAGAAACAAAAGTCAGAATTCTGAGAAAAAAAAGTCAATATTTTGAGATTAAAATCAGAATTCTGACTTTTTCTCATATTATAATGAAATAAAATTAAAAAAAATCTGTTCACTTTTTTAATTTTTTCAGTGGCCCTAATCCTCTCCCGTATACTAGCGATAATATATTCCCCATGTACATTTTAAAAAGCCGATTGTTATAGAAATTGTGAATCGGGAGGACCGGAAGTGAAAGTGAAATTGACGCCTCCAATGAATGGACCAGCAGCAGTAGCCAATAGGAGCAGAGATGGTCATCTATAAATTTCCATCTGCAGTCAGGCTGCTCGGAGAGCTGCTGGGAGGTCGCTGCTGTTGTCTTTGCTCTTCAGTCAGAACCATAGGGATCTTACTGTCAACTAATAATAATAATAGCAGTAGCATCCAAGTCCAAACACAACAGGTAGGAGAATCCGTTTGATTTTATTTCTAAAACCAAGGATAAACTTGTCTTATCTCTTTATAAGGAATCTCAGAGCGCCGCATACTTTGAATATTTGTAAAATTGTTTGTTATGCGGTTAATGTAAAAAAGTAGTTGTAATAATCAGGATGTGGAATCATATGTTAAACTGCACATATTTGGATGTGATTGAAGGAAAACCCATCCTAGTCTAGCCTTGAGCTGTAAACTTGAGCCGGTCTGTGTCGCTGCTCTTCACCGCCTCTCCCCTCCATCACCCGCCCAGGGAAAAGCCATGCCTTTCGGAAACACGCACAACAAGATGAAGCTGAAATATTCCTCCGAGCAGGAATACCCGGACCTCAGTAAACACAACAATCACATGGCAAAGGTCCTGACTCCTGCCATCTACGAGCAGCTCAGGAGCAAAGAGACGCCCAGTGGATTTACTCTGGATGATGTCATTCAGACTGGCGTTGATAACCCAGGTAAACCAATCTATTTAAAACATTTCTGTGCCTATCGAGGTTAATTGGCGGTGCTGTGTGCCCCCTGCAGGGAGCATTATCACCAGTTCTTGGACTGTGACCTCAGTGAGATAACGTAGAGCCAATGGTGTGCCATTTAATCCTAGCTGCCATCTTCCATTGATTGCATGCATAATTCCATAACACTTATTCATTACAGCAAATGCCAAACAGATGTTACAATTTATGAAAAGCAGCTGTTTGTAGATTCCAGCTGCTTATAGGCAAATTATGTCACCCTGTGTAAGACTTAGATCTCCATAGTGTAGAAAGGCTGCCCTTATCTGTAGATCCTGTTTCTGTTTAGCTCTGTCAAAATGACCAGGTTGACCCAGAAACGGTCAACAGCTGAGGAGGACTTTCCAGATCTCAGTAAACACAACAACTTCATGGCTAAGGTGTTGAATCTGGAAATGTACAAGCGGCTGAGAGGAAGGATGACGCCAAACGGCTTCACCATTGATGGTGTCATTCAGACAGGGGTTGATAATCCTGGTACAGTAACAGTTGAACCCTTAGGACTGATCAAACACTTTTAGTTGGACACAATAGAACCTTTTATACTGTATTTTTTATATATATATATATTTGTGCATCCTTTATCTTTAGGTCACCCTTTTATTATGACTGTGGGCTGTGTGGCTGGGGATGAGGAGACATATGAGGTGTTCAAAGAGCTGCTGGACCCTGTGATTGAGCACAGACATGGAGGATACAAACCCACAGACAAGCACAAGACTGATCTCAACCCAGAGAACCTGAAGGTACTTCAGAGCTGCTGCTCAATGTGAAAAATGGATTTGCTGGGTGCAACTGATTTAAACAGATGTGGCCTGTTTGCTCAGGGTGGTGACGACCTGGACCCCAATTATGTTCTGAGTTCCCGAGTCAGAACAGGACGGAGCATACGTGGCTTCTGTCTGCCACCACACTGCAGCCGTGGAGAGAGGCGGGCTGTGGAGAAGCTCTCTGTTGAAGGTAAACTGGAGAGAGAATCTTATTGTCAGGATGGTATGAATCTATAGAGGAAGCAGTCACTGTCAAACACACAGGAATCCAGGAATGCTCACTGCAGTAGAACTGGCTGAGATTTAATGTTGAAAGTGGACTGCCCTCTAGTGGGAGCAGTTTGAACATGCACTGACCAGATTAACACCTCATAACTTTAGGTGTGACATGAGAACCTTTTACCTTTAAAATAAACAAAAGAATGAACCTTTGATATGCTTGAAGACTTGTATACAGATCTGATTTTATAAGCCCTAATCTGAGCCCATCGTTTCATTTGATTTTGGATGTTTTTCTAATCTAATGGCAGCTCTGGACTCTCTGAGTGGAGACCTGAAGGGGAAATACTTCGCCCTGAAGAACATGACTGAAGCGGAGCAGCAGCAGCTCATTGATGATCACTTCCTTTTTGATAAGCCGGTGTCTCCCCTGCTGCTCGCCTCCGGAATGGCCCGTGACTGGCCAGATGCTAGAGGGATCTGGTAAGCCTTCCTGTTACGCCTTCAGTGTGTAAACTCTGCAATCAGCCAGATATCAGATCCAGCTAAAGCCCCCTGGATCAGCAGGCAACAGGTTCATTTATTCATTGTTTAAAATCAAAGTGGCACTAGAGACTGCACAGTGGTAGTCTGCAGTCATGCTGACACTATGAGGGTTTTATGAGTTATTTCAGCTTTGATGCTTTCTGCATGGAGCTAGCATGTTCTATGATTTCTAACTGATTCCTACCACCGATCAAAGCACAATAGTTAGCTCATATGTCGGCCCATATAGCGGTTTTATGCTCTGTGTCATTAGCCATTTGGCAGCTACTCAGCAAAAACAATCTAGAATTAAGTAAAACATTTTGAAATTAAGTGTATTCACTCATAATTTGAGTAGGTAAATAGGATGAATTGCCAATGGAATGAGATCTTTTACTCTTAAAACAAGATAATTGGATAATATCCACTTGAAATAAGACGATACAATTCCTTTTTTTTATTTTAAATGTAAATTGTCCTGTTCCATTGGCAAGCATCTTTGACAACGCAGCCAGGGGTTTCCGCCCCTGAGGCTAACTGATGCTGAAGCTTAGTGAAATACACCAGTTCCAAGAACTGCTTGTTTTGGTAAAATCCTAAATCATCATCTTAAAAATAAGTTTCACTGCTGCTCATTATTTTGACTATGAATTCAGATAAAGGCTGTGATTTGAGGGTCTAGCCCTGCTCCTCAGGCGTTTCACTGCCTCCACACCTGACCCGAATGAAAAGGTGATTAACAGGCTTTTGCATCATTTGATGGATGTCAAGGAGATAATGCAGTCATCTTTACGCAGCTTAAGGATCAGCAGTACTTCACATGATCCAAACTCTGGTTCACATTGTTTAGATATTTGCACATATAACGCCACCATCGTCTATTAGTAAAAGCAATAAAATTGCTGACCGGTTATAGCACTGATCATTCAAAACTAATTCAGCAGGTACCATGTTTGAATTCTGACAACGCTGCAAGTTCAGTTAATATTTTACCATTTATTACAGAGTTTAATGTTTTCTTTAAAATTTGTCTTTTTTTTTCTGATCTGTTTATCTTTAGGCACAACGATAACAAGACATTCCTTGTGTGGGTGAACGAGGAAGACCATCTGCGTGTGATTTCTATGCAGAAAGGCGGCAATATGAAAGAAGTGTTCTCTCGCTTTTGCACAGGTCTCACCAAGGTCAGTGGGAAAGTTCAGAACCGACGCCTCAGATGGCTTTTTATCAGGAAAAATGATGAATTCCTCCCTGTTCACAGATCGAGGCTCTGTTTAAAGACAGGGGCCATGCATTCATGTGGAACGAACACCTGGGTTACATTCTGACCTGCCCCTCCAACCTGGGCACTGGTCTGCGTGCAGGAGTGCACGTGAAGCTGCCAAACATGAGCAAACACGCCAAGTTTGAGGAGGTTCTAAAGAAAATGAGGCTTCAGAAACGTGGGACTGGTAAGAGCCCCACCCCCCAGTTCTTTACAAACTAATATTACTGTGCACCCCCATACAGTACATCAGACTAACATCTGTCCCCTCTCAGGTGGCGTAGACACGGCTGCCGTCGGCGGAATCTTCGACATTTCCAACGCGGACAGACTGGGCTTCTCTGAGGTGGAGCTGGTGCAGATGGTGGTTGATGGGATCAAACTGCTGGTGGAGATGGAGAAGAGGCTGGAGAAAGGCCAGTCCATTGATGACCTGATGCCTGCCCAGAAGTAAAGCAGCCTAAAGCACAGTCCCCTCCCCACCCCCCTCCATTTTGTTCCTACCGTCCCTCTAAACTCCACCCAGTGAAGGATTGACTGCACTTCATGTTTCTGTGTGAACATCTGTATTTAAGATCTGAAATGTAATAAAAATGGTTTGGTTCTAGTAGGAATTTGTAATTATTAACCGTAAAGACTTTGACAGCGCTGAAGATCTGCCTGAGCTGAAAGGGTCCCAAAGTTACTGGATGTTTGAATTAAAACTTTTATGGAACATTTCTGAGGATGAACGTGACTGAAATTAAAAGCAAAATCCCTCAGATATTAAAACAAAACCATAATTTCCATGAAAGTTAATGATTCTGGTTTGCAAACTGAAAACGTCAAATTAAGTCACTATGATTATTGCAAATGGCCAGAGTTCTTTAACGCCTCAAATGATACACTAAAAACTTTGGCCATAAATCTGCAGACAAGCTGCCTTAACATCAACCAATCAACATGGCTGAGATTCAAGGGGAGGTGAAGGACTTCTAATCACTCCCTCAGATAAACAAATTTTTTTTTTTTTCTTAAAATCACTGATTTCCTGCAGACTGATTCCTTTAACAGGTTTTAAACATGACTTTTGTTAAAATGACTCTTTAGCCTTAATCCTATAATTGTGTTCTGCTTCAGATGTTTTGTGCATTTTCCAGCCTCTGGGTGCACAGATTGTGGTAGTTGGCCACATCTGGGACGCTTCCTGTTTTCTCCAGATGTAGCTTTCACCATAGTTTACTTTTAAAGGATTTAAGATCTGTTGAGCAACTTGTTAGGAATTTCTAGATTCTTCAGGTTTTGGTGCCGTTTAGTGAAAATCTTGATTTGATAGTCAAGTTTATAAATAGCTTTTTGATCTAAACTATATCCCATCCAAATATAAAATTCACATTCAGGCTCTTTAACAGGAAAGATATGCATCCCCAAAGAAAACAAGGTTAAAGGTTAATCATATTGGAAAAGAGTTTCTATACACAGGATTGAAAAAAAAAAAAAATCTTAGAATGAAATTTGCTTAACCCTTTAATTTGATACTTTAGCTATTGAGCTACAAGTCATTAAGGGCTTATCTTTAGCTTCCTCCAGAGGGGAAGACAGGGTGACCAAATATCTAGTAATTTCATCAGATTATGCTTCTTTTTAATTGAAGCATAATCTGACTTGATGTACGGTTTAAAAGCAGAGGATCAAACTCATTTAAAGGTGTGCTCATCTTAAAACAAAAATGACTAAAACTTGTCTGCTGGTTCTGGTCCAAACACTAGCGATGAGACTGCGTAAGTTGACAGATGCTTTAATGGAGACATGAGTGAACCTTAACCATGTGGGCGTTAACACGGACTACCCATAATCTCTAATTTTTAAACAAAATACAAAAGAAAAAAGTGTTGCAGTGAAGCCATCTGGAAAGCAAGATACAGTATTTACAAAAAAAAAAAGGGATACTTTAACCATGAGAAACAAAAGGTGAAATAAATAAGACCAGAAATGCTTTTTTTTTTCTTCTTTTTTTCCACATTCACAGCATGACAAATCATATTTAACTCGGTAATGGCGACCCCCAGCGGTCAAAACAGATATTAGTAGATAATTCAGTAATTATTGCCAAAAAGCCTTTATCTATACATTATAATATTCAATACAGACTGTGTTTTGTTTAAAAAAGGAGACATTTGGAAACTGCTACTTGGATGATTGTACAGCTTAAATACCTCAATATATATTTTTAATGTATACGTAAGTCCTTTTGTTCATAGTTTTAACTCGTTGGCAATTTTGGAAGCAATGTTTTTAAAAGCGATTGATGTCCCAGATATCCTTTTGAAGCGGACGCCGTTAAGGGAGAGACGTGGCAGCTTGCAGACCTCCATCTCCCACTGGACCAGGTTTTCAGCCTGCCCGTCTCCATGGACGCAAAGAAGCAGGAAACTCTCTTGCTGTTCGTAGTCGCAGTTGTTGGCGTCGAGCACCTTACGAATCTCCCTCATGATGTCGCAGGGCTCCATGGAGCTGGTGGTTCTCATACTCCAAGTGAATCTGAGGGAGCGGGGTTTACCGTCTTTAATTTCCCCTTTTTGATCCCCAGGTACATGGCGACTGTTGGGAGAAAAACAAGGACAGGTTTGCTTAGATTAACAGGATCATTTTTGCCTTTTATAACGTTGAATCAGAACCTGAGATTCTTCATCTCAGTTTACTGTCGGGTCAGATTCGGGTTGCAGCACAAAGCCTTACCTTGACAAAATGTAGTGAAGTTTTTTACTTCATGGAAATAAAGATTTGTGTCTGTTTGCACTTATGAACAACTTATTAAAGTTTAAGGCAAAGTTAAATCACTTTTTTTTTTTAAATATAATTTTAAATTAGTGAGAGTTTTACTACATTTTGTCTGACTTCCAAACAAAGGGGAAGTAAAAGCAAAAGAAAAGACTGAAGCCATCTTTGAAAAACCCAGAAGATCACTGCAGCTGGCTTTACTCTACAAACATCCCAACACCGACAGTTAAGCCCAAAATTATTCAAACACTGACCCACTTATAAAATTACTAGTTTAAAATAGGAAATAACAGCATAAATGACAATATAACCAAATCAAAGGAATACTTTGATTTTTGAATACTGTTCCTCAGTAATGAATAAATAACTCCAGCAGCATTTCAGCATCCATCTCTTGCCATTTTTAGCTTCCTCCACAGATTGAAGCTCTAGCTCCGTGCCTTCGAGATGTTAACATTCTTCCTTTCAGAAAAAACTGATTACTTAAAATCTAAATCTGAAAGGTACATTAATTATTAGCCCTTTAACTGGATTCTATCTCATCCTTTAAACACATTAACTGAGATTCTATATCATAACATTTAATGAAGTAAAGATGAGAAAAATGCAAACCATATCTGAAGGTATTTATCATGTATTAAGCTCACTACAGCCAGTAAGATTAAAGTTAATATTCTGATTGCTCAATCTCACAATAACTGAGAAAAAATACTTTTGACCATCATGCAGTTGCATAAAATATTGACTTTTAATCTGTTGACAGTTGCAGTTTCAGTGCATAACTTTAAGATCACCTGTCTGCTATTTCTGACATTTGAATATTAAAATTAGCCAAATATTAAAGATAAACGAGACAAAGCAGAATAATGAAAAACTCAGTATAAGAACTACAAAAAAATTCAAATGAGATTCTAAACTCAACCCTCACATCATGACCAATAGACTCAACAGACTCACCTGTTTGGATTATATTATTATAATCTACTATTGGATTATATATCCAATATTAGTTCAATGTTTAACACATTTTCTCTTGTGTTGGTTTAGAGCTCTTGTTCTTATCTTGAGTGGTGCTACATAATTAAAATCTACATAAATTAAAAATAAATTTATTCCCAGTCATCCAGGTCATAGTCATTCCAAAAAAGAAAAAACAAAACAATCCACTGGACTTTGTTTCCAAGTTTGAAGATGTTTCGCTTCCCATCCAGGAGTTCGAGGCTTTATAGAGTAGCCCATCAAAGCCTTGATTTGGCTTAGAAAACATGCAGATTAAACTGGACGAATTGGGTCGCCCCTTTGGAATGGGGGTCGTTTGGCTTCTTTGTTAGCCTGCAATGCCCCATACCCTGCAGGCTAACAAAGAGGCCAAACGACCCCCATTTCAAAGGGGTTTACCTGTTTGTCCAGTTTAATTTGCATGTTTTCTAAACCAAAACAAGGCTTTGATGGGTTACTCTATAAAGCCTCGAACTCAACGCTATTCCTGACATTTTGAATTGAAAAAGCTTCCTGGATGGGAAGCGAAACATCTTCAAACTTGGAAACAAAGTCCAGTGGATTGCTTTGTTTTTTTACTTTTTTGGAATTAAATCTGAATCTTTTCCACCTATAACAAGCTTGAGGAGGAAAACTCTATATAAAGATTTATAAAAGGTATAAACATTCTCTATTTCACATATAAAATGTAAAAACTTAAATTACAACAATTATAAAAATGCAAACCTTTTCTGATTTTATTCCCATTTTAAAAATCTAAGCGGTCCTCAATAGTTTTCTGGGTTTTTCATAGATCGTTTGAGGAAGACTTGCAGCTAATTTATTGGTAAACTTCACATTTTTTGACCGACATGCAGCGTTAACAGAGCAGCACATTTATGAAGCCATGCAACCAAAACGCATTGATAGCACAGCCGACTCAATCCGAGGCACAGCTTTAATAACAAGGTGCTGCAAGACATTCAGACATTCAGCGAGGCCAGTCAGAGGGAATCCAACACACATCCAGGTAAAGCAACTTGGATCTGATGCTGCAGACAGACAGACGGAGGCCTGCGCTCCCATAAAGAGAGCAGGAGATACACAGGAAGCAGCGGGAGAGGGGGGGGGCAGGTATCCTCACCTTGAGCCCTCAAGTCTCCCGTTTCTCTCAAACTCGGATGAGACTCTGAGACGCCATGAGAAGATTGGACAGGAAGGCATGGCAGAGTCGGTGGACAGGGGGACAAAAGATTAAAAAAGAAAAAAAAAATGTGGATTGTGTTCAACAAAAAAACCAAAACATTTTTAAACATTTTCAGTGAATGGTGCGAAGAGAAAGTGAAGGAACGTGGAGGACGGTGTGAGCCACCACCGGAAACAAAAAAAAAAAAAAAAAAAGAGAAATGGAAAAGCAGGCTTCCATTAACATCGGTGGGAAATGAAAGTAAGGATTGTTGAACTCAAACCAAGAAAACACAGAAAACACAGCAGAAATGTTTCAACCCAAAACAGCAGCAACCAAGCAGGTGGGATGAAAGTAAAGGCAGAGAAGCTGCTAAAATCTCTCCAACAAGATCAGATTATCGCCGGATTTTAACGGGATTGGGATTAAAAATGAGCCGACTATTCTAAACGTGGGTAAAAAGTAGCAGATTTGGGAAGAATTGGAAAAGTCGGCGAGCAGATGAAGACTTTTTGGTGGAGGGAAACTCGTCAGGTTCGCAGACAGCAAACACTCACAGAAACACAAAGTTCACAGTCAGCGAGTCGAATGTTCAACAACATTCTGTTCCTGTGACTAAAGCTGAACTCCCGGAACACAAACGCTCCGACATCTCATCCACAGGAAGGAGGAAAAGACTGC